GGAAATTACTTTGAAATTATTAGTTTAATTTGTGACCACATAGTGATTTCAGGTAATAATATATTTCTCAGTGACCAGATGACATTTAGTGCTTAATGGATGACTTGAATGCTGATACTTACTAAATGCTAGTTGCTGATCAGTTGCCCCACTGAGCCCTGAGGCAGAATTTCATACAACATGAGATATTCTGAGGGCGCCTGAGGCCTTGAATGAAATATTTCTTCTAAAACTTTTAAGCTTCAGAAAAATTGCAGATGGTAAGATATGGCTACAAAGCAGAATGTACATTTTATAAACACTCATTCACTGCATCGTGTCTGTTATCATGTTAACCCGTTGGTTCTGCTGCGTTTTTGTGCATTCAGATACCTAGCAGAAGCAGATACACACTGGCCCCTTAAATATATTTTAAGGATGACAAATCGTTGGTGGTTTCAGAGTTAAGCTGCCGTTTCTATTGTCATTTGAAGAATGAGACAAAGCTTTTGGCTTTGCATCAGTGTGGCTCTGACCTGGCAGTGTGTTTACAGATTATCCACCATAGTGACAAGCGTATCATCCACTACTTTGGCTTCCTTCATTCCTCTTTTTTGAGTAAGCAATAGGTCGGAGAGGATAAAACCGTTTTCTTCCTCTTCTCTGATGGATGCTAATGCACAGACTGTCAGTACAGAGGTGGCAAAGCCCGAAGGGAGGGTTTGCACCGAACTATTTCTTGTCTGTGAAAAGATCAGGGAGGGTAATCTCCGACTCTGCTATCCAGGACTGCTCTGCTGTGTGAATTCACTCTTTATCCTAAATCCAAAGAGCGCAAGAGAGACGGAAAACAATCTCTAAAGTGTGAAAGTGGAAAAAAAGAAACAGAAGTGTGTTTGTACATGGCTGGGAAATAGCACGGCTTTTGACATAAACCAGAATGTTTTTCAGGTGATTATATACAGACTGACAGAAAAATATTTCAGAGATAATTATCCTACATATTATTTTTATATCTTACTGAAGATGAAGTTCAGACTCCCCAGTTATTCATGTCACTCTGGATTAGTACATCTTTATCAGATCTGCAATGAATGAAAGTTATGGACAGACACACACACACACAGCAACATACACACTTTATTTATGTCTTATTATACAGCACTGGGTTAAACCCATTTAATTGCTCAAGCCTTGTGGGAGAGAAAATTGAAATCCAAGGTTTAATTTCATAGGTCTCTATTTTCAAGGGATTTTGTTTCACCGTCTCTAAAGCCCTTGCACTATTACTTGTCATGTAAAAAGCAATTACAATCCTTGCCAAGATGAAATGTGTCATCAGAGAATCCATTAACAATGTCCTCAGACCTCAATATTTACAGGCACCACCCTACTTTCTGTGGTATCAGTGAGTTTTGCAAGTTGCGAAGGACAATTAGAAGACATTGTCATTTCTGTTTATAGTTAAGTTATTTTATAAAACACTAATTGAAATTAAATTAAACCTGGATACAGTTTGCAAAACAGACAAATTTAATTTACAACTACGTAAACTCTAATTAGATCTACAGTCCATTCATATCAATTGGATTGTTCTAGAGGATTCTTATTATGTAGTTGAATTCAGATCCAGCTATATAGAATCGGACTCACTTCTAATCACAACATATTACGATAATTTAATGTCAGTCGGAAGAGTAACATAGTCAATAGTAAGTACTTCATATTATTGACTAGGAACTGGAGTTCAGAACTGAATTTTGAGCAATTCAAAAAACTGTCTTGTTGAATGTTGTGTCAAGAACTGATCTCTAGAGTTTCAGATGAAATCAGAGCTGCAAGAGAAGGCCTTCCTTCTCTTTGTGCAAGAGACACTACATCATTGTCGCTTTACTAAAGGAGAAAAGGAAAGACGTGAGCTGTTTGGTAAATCTGAAACACTTATGGGGAAAAAAAGCAAACAAACATCTGAAGAAAAAATAACCCTTTTCGACTCAAGGATACCACAGAATGAAAACCCTGTTGACTTTTGAATGGAAAAAACTATGTTTTAAAACGCCTCATTTATGGCAAGATGGTTAAGTTGGAAGATTAACTTCTGGAAGATACTTATGTTAATACCCAAAACAGTACAGTATTAATACTGTACTGTTTACAGTACAGTATTAATACTGTACTGTTTACAGTATTACAGTTTACAGTACAGTATTAATACTGTACTGTTTACAGTACAAAAGTAATGTACTGTAACAAAAGTAATTTTATTTATTTAAAAAACAAAAAGAAAATTGTAATCAACTGGTGGTGGATTTAGTATCTGAAAATGCTGAGCATTTTTGACTTTAACTTCTAAGTCACTTTGCTGGGGCGTCTTTTTAGCGGAGAATCTGTAGCTGGAGAAATTATATAGAACATCCTCTATTTACTGCTTATAGAAAGTTATTGATGTAATGCAGAAGTACACAGTTTTGTGTAAGCATTAAATTAGAATAATTTCCTAATGTGTAGTTTTCATTTCATTTTCCAATGAAAAAAAAAATCATGTTTAAGCTTGGCTAAACAAGTGAAGTTCCCCATCCATCTGTGCAGGTGAGTGTATAATAAATCAGTTTCAGATAGATTTGTCAGTGCCAGGAACCATGTCAGGCAGGTCAGTTCGCTCTCATATAGCACATATGAAGAGCATGCCAACTCATATCACTTGTCATAGCAGCACATTCTGCATTTTTCAAGTGTCACTTCCTGCCATTGTGGAAGGCTGACGTTTTGCAGCCTGGTATCTTGAAACAAGTGTAGTTATGACAGGGAAAGTCATGGCACATGTTAGAAAGCCAAATCCTTTTCTTGGCATTTTATTGTCATTCGAGATACTCTAGAGTGACAGGAGGAAATCCTGCTTCTCAGTCCTAAATGCATCCATGTTTTTTGGGGTTTTTTTTTTTAGCAGTATGCAGAGTGACAAGATAATACATACAGGGGATTTGCAGCCCAATTCTGAGTGCTAATACCTACTTTAAAAAGTAAGTAAGAGGAGAGATGAAAGGAAGGCTGCAAACCAGGTTTGGTCTGTCAACTCTTAGAGCCCAAACTAAATCACAGAAATAGGTCTCTCCCCTGTCTTTCTCAAATTTAGCGATAGCTGGGTTCTGCACAATCAGCAGTTGTGTTTACTAAAGGTTAATCTTAAATTGGTAAGATGTATTGGTTGCTTAAAGCAAAACCGTCTGTATGTTTGCATAACTGATCCAAAGTGAAGAGCTTTCAGGCACCCCTCCAAGTGTAAGCAGAAGAAAAACTACAATCGCACAACTTGTCGATAATAAAATGCATCTAATGTGAACAGATCTTTAGGTTGATCAGTCCCGTCTGAAATAATTGAATCTCTTTCATAATGGATTTTACAGTTTAGCTTGTGTCTCCCAGCTCAGCTCAGCTCCTTGACAGAATGCGCTTCCAGAGCAGGAGACGTCACTTGGCACTGATCCACTGCTCAGAAGCAGATTTTGGCTTTTGTGAAAACTGTCATCTTAGCCAAATATATTTGTTTCACAAGACAACTTCTTTAGACATTGTTTCCCTAATTAAAAAAAATGTCAAGATATCATGTTGGCCACAATACCTATCTTGGACTCTCTACACATCCACCTTTCAAACAAGAAACTAATATAATTACACCAAAGAAAAAAATAGGTTTCACACTTAGTTTGTATCTAAAATTGCGGCTAATTGTGAATTATTTTTTCCCCAAGCTTTCCAGTTTTCTTATTAAGACAAAGTAAAGTCAACAATTTTAACAAAATCCTTATTAAGACCAAGATTTGGGGAACTTTTACAGATACAATTTGTCATCTAAATAACTTGACCATCACAACTCACCAAGGCTGTTTGCCTCTCATCTTTTGGAGAAGTGTTTTGTTTAAAACTACGGTTCCAGAAGGACGTGAAGAAAAGCATTTAGAGAAGACTCCTAGTTCAGAAGTGTGAAATATTTCTAGGAAACAATTTACTTTTTTTTTTTTTTTTTACATTACTGACAAATCAGGTAATGTCTTTAATGATAACATTTGATGGAAAGCATTTTGTACATTCAAAGACCGAATGCATAAATATATTTTAAGCTAAAAACTTGAACAATTAAAATACAAGATTTCTACAAGAAGTTTTAAATTCTGATGCATAACAGAGTAAAAAGGCAGGGAAAATGTGTGTTTTTTTTAATAAAATGTTTATTATTACCATTGTAATATTTTCTGTATACAAGAATGTGTAACAAAAGCCGAATAAGCAATCCATTTTAGTCTTTTAAAAAATGGTAAGGCATGTCTGCTTGTATAACCATCAACTTCAGTTCCCCCAAAACACTTTAAACAGCGTGCACTGAACAGCTTCAAAAAATCGTAATGTGCTCCTTAGTCATTAATTTTCGCAAGTCACAACAGTACCACACTCAGAGCATTATGTTTAGCAAAAGTGCAGCAAATGATTCACGACGAAATGAAAAGACCTTGCATAACAAATCGTGTTCTAAACATTTAGTAAAAAATAACTGAGAAATTTTGATTATTTTTTTTTTCCTTTTTTTCAATCACTAAAATAATTCAAGAAGCTAATTGATGTCTTTATGGCTCGTGTGTAAATGAAGACCGTCACTGCATCATTTCTGACTAGAATATTCTTGCAGCTTGTCAGGGGTGATAGGAATAAATTTGGTAGCGGAGAACAGCAACAGTTTATTTTATCATTATCAGAGAGGACCAGTTTCCCTAGATACAAGCACTTTGGAAAAACAAGACAAGGCTCCAAGAAATTCTTTTCTCAATTCACTTTTTCTGCTGTGTTTTCAGCAACACCAGCAAAGCCCTGCATTATCCTCACTCATCCACAGCTCTGATGCAATCACAGCTCTAGCAGAAGCTCTAATGGGTGCCTTCAACCTTTGTGTGGCTGCAGATGTTTACTGTGTTTCTGCGCTGTGAAAACACATACCTGCTGAGGCTCAAACAAAACAAGTATCTGACGCCAATCTGCTGACTTTCTGCCTTTGTTATCAAGAAGGGACGCTTTAAGAGAATGTACAGGAAACTTAAGGAAAAAACTTTTTTTTTTTTTTTTGCAGTACCTTGTGAAAATCTTTGCTATTTGAAATAACCTAAATCTTCAGCATCACAACACTCTTTAGTTTGTGCTGTGTCGCTTCAGGGCCTCACTCAACGATACCTACCTCTGCTATTTTTTTTGTTTACAATTTAAAACTAAATTTGTTATTGACTAAATGATATCACCATGTGAACAGTACAGATCAATGTAACTTTGATTCGCCAAGCATAAAGTCATCAATGTAATGGATTCCTGTAAACCTAGTGGTGTTTCTCCCTGCTCTCCCTGCCTTGGTGAACAATGCGAAACTTTAAAAAAGTGATAATAAAATAACACAAAGTTTGCGCATTACCAGCAAAACAGATTAAACAAAACTCAGGCCTTTTCATTAGATCGTTGCTCAAAAAAATAAAAAAAAATTTCCTGTTATAGTCATGTAAAAAAAAAAGTCAGTTTTGAGCATCACAGCGGACTCAACAATCAGCATACTTATAAGACTTTCCGATGGATGTTTCTCATCACTCTGACCAAATAAAAAAAAAAAACTTCTGCCGGTATTTTTTTAATAAAGAATTTCAGATTGGTTGTTGTTACCAATGCCTAACACAGCTAGATGGTGGGAGCTTTTCCCTCATCAAAGTGTAGGGCAATTTCCAGCACCGACTTCTGCATAGAAACTATTTTAGAGTTTGAGAGGTGGGTCAGATGTGTTTATGTGTAAGGTTTTCAGGCACTGGCATTGGAAGGGGCCTTGCCAAGTCACCCTTGTACTGTTCACTGAAATTTCCATGAAATGTTCAGTCAATCAAACTGGGATTCACTGACCCAGTGGAAACTGTACAGGAATAACAAGACCAAAGAGCTGAAGGTGGCCTCCTCCTCTTCCTCATGCTCCAATAACATTGGTGGAGCAGATGTGGGCGCATCTTGTCCCTCATGCATCACGTCTTTTTAGTCCCATTAGATTCCTAGATCTAGAGATCTACTGGTTAGAAAGTGCTTAAGACTACCACTTCTCTCCATCTCTGGAAGCCATAAAGTACTAAAAAGTGTGTGTGATTCACAATCCATTTTATACTCATTCACTGGCTAACCAAAAGCATGGCAGTTTTAAGAAAGTTCAAAGGATATTTAAGAAATACTGCCATGTGTCAATATTTGAGCTTGCAAACAGAAGTAGCCTAAAACTCCAGCATCACAACACTCTTCAGCAGGAAACTACACATAACATTTTAGACGGAAACATAATATGCATCAGAAAAACAGCGATGTGTCCTTCGGGTTTACAAAAGGGGACTGGTAACGTTTATCAAACCTGCCAGTGACAAAGCATGTGACCCACATACACAGGCCCTAGTCCTCTAAATTCAGCTGCCCATCTTTTCGTAATGGCATTACGACTGCTTCCATTTGTAACTTTATTTTCACTTTTATAAATTTCCTTAGAATGATTTTCTTTTGCCATTTTAGCACCAAAGCCGGTTACGTCTTTGAAACAAAGAACTGGTCCATCAACAAACCTAAATTATCCCAACTTTTTGAGTTGTATGCTTGAAATGCAGGAAGGTGTATTTACAAGAACAAATAAAATAGATATGATGATCCAAAATAAAAACTGAGGTGAAGAGCAAACTGTTGACTACATGTGTAAATACCCTGTCCCCTTTTTTTGTTTTTCATCTTTCAGAGAATTGGAAACTTTACTAATTGCCCAATTTTTTTATTTTACTATCAACTGAACCATTTAGATTTATTGGTATTTTACCAGTTTAATTTGGCTGATCTATTTAGTCCCCCCCCAAAAAAAAAGTGCTTCAGTAGCAGTTCAGTAGGAATAGGATTTCCATCTCTCGTAGCACCGATTTACTTCTGGACAGTTTGACATTGAGGAGGGCCTTATGTTAATCACTGCGATGTCTTTCCTCAGGCCTTGGCCTGTTGCATTCTACAATTAAGGTTCACGCATCGGTGCTTTAATCATGCCATGCTGGTTTTGGTGGGAGGGTGCTATTCAGTCACCTTCTCCTAAATAGGTTTTTGCGAGGAGAGAGGTCATAGAGGTCAACTGTTGTGTAGCAGGAGCTTCCTGCGGCGCTTGGGGCCTCGGTTGTGAGTCACTGACGCACACTGAGGACAGATTTCCCTTCTGGTGCTCTGAGTGCAATCAGCTGTGATGCTGGCGTAAACTTTGTGCTCGAAGCCGTTTTTTTCATTCTCATCCTGCATTGCCGTTGTGTGAGGAGAAAACTTGTTTGTCCCATGCACGTCTTCCTATGCTACGGGACAAACATGGCCTCTGCGAGACACTCAGAGGAGCTGTTAATTTGTTACAGTGATGCATTTGGAGAGAGGTCCCTGCCGTGATAAGGGACTTTTGTAATGTGGAAACAGTTTAAGTGTTCGTGACCTGGCTGGTTTTGGATCCTGCAGAAACACACGTGAGCGTGACATTTTTCATCTTTTGTGAGACATTTTCGAACAGTTTTTCCATTGTTAATTTTAGCAGCAGGCCTGCAAAATCTTTCTAAGGCTAACCTTTTCTGTATGACCGGGGGTCTCAGGCGCTGTGTTTCTGGAGTGCAGGTTATTTGCTTTGCACACTAAGCCTCTACAGCCTGTTAAAGGTCAAAGCCTGTAGGAGACAGACTGAAGGGTATGTATAGTAACCCCAGTTCTTTGACTTCTCAGAGCCCTCTAACCTTGGCAGTCCTCTACCTTTGGAGGTGACATTGTACATGCCATGTTAAAGTACATGACCACTTACAAAAAGCTGCAAGGTTCCAGGGTTTGCTGTTGCCAGTCAAACAAAAAACATGCAAATTTCTGCGTTGTGCATAATCATATTGGTGGAATCCAGGGAAATAAATGAAATTTAGGGATTTTTGCCATATATCTATCTGTATGCCTCTTTTCTGTCTTCCGAAGGTGAAAATAAATGTGTTAGTGCATGTTAATGACTCTGGAAAAAAGAGAATAAATCAGGTAGTTTAACAATCTTAGCAGGCATTTGCAGTATAATGGCTTGATATTGTTGCTAAAACATTGTTGTAACGTAAAATGAAATAAAACACATATATTTATAAAGATGTAGCTTTAACCTGTAAGATTACATTAAAGTACAATCCTGTTAACTACATACTGTATCCACTTAAAGAACAATACAATCAGTTTAAATGATCTGAAAATATAAATCTTTTTTTCTCTATATGATGGGTGCCTCTTGCAGCTTAATAAACAAGCCGATAAAATCATCTGTGCAAAGTAGTGCCCTTAGTGCAGCACTTTAGCACTTTCGTAAAGATAATCACATGTGCAACAACAAAGTGGCCTTAAGACCCACCGTTCCCTCAAGCCACAATGATGTGACCAAGGAGGAAACTGAGTGACCTGTTCAGGCTGCATGGCCCTGTGCAAACAAACCTAAAACTATGGAGCCTGGAAACACAAAATAAAATCGGAATAAATAAAGAAAAGCAGAACGAAACAATGTTTTGTCTGTTTACATCACACCCATGCATGCACACAGAAATTTTTTCTGATTTTTGTCTGAGGGAAAGATAACTAATAAGATAAAAACAGTGTTGTCTTCTTTTCACTTCATCACACAAAGGAAAAGAAATAAAGGGTTTCCCTTTATCTGCAAAATCACTGATAGAACCGCCTTAAGATAGTTTTGTTTCCTAAACGAGAAGCATGTTTTTCGAAGCTCACTTTAGAATGATGAGAAAACACCACATTTTCGTTTTTATTTCAGAGATGGTAAAAGCTGGTTCACTGATGGCACCGAGCATTCTTTGGGGGACAAGCAGGATTCAGCGCTGCACTCACTTCCAGCCCTACCACACCACACAGTCAGTCATTCTAGACATGTTTCCGGGAGGTTCTACATGTCCAGTGACGGAACAGCAGTATAACTTGCTGTAAGACATACTGTTACACTTAACAGTAGAAGAGTCAATGATCAGGTCACACTGTATTATCTCCATTGAGTCTGTACTGCCCAGAGTGGGAGTGTGAGGGCAGCCATCACCAGGACGGTGGAGGGTCCACAGGAGAGCGACTGGCCCGCAGCAGCAGCTGCAGCCCGTTCGTCACTTCTGTCGGCTCTAATCACGGGAGCTTCTGTCCCCACAAAAACAAACTCTGTCGTGCAGCCGTCAGAGCAGCCGCTGCCGCTTCCCGAGCTACTGCCCTCGTCACCTGCAGCAAGAAAATCACACTCATTTAAATGTAAACATCACACATGGTGTTGCATGCAGCCTGTGTGACAAGGTCTGGCAGTATAGGTACTCAATTAATATAAGTGATGCTATTAAGACTGAACTCGGTTTCAGAAACACTGGAATGATTTTTCTACAACACATTAGTTCATTTCACAATCTATTTCATTTGAATACTGCAAAAGATAAGAAAATAAGAACATTTATTGTCAGTTTTAGTACAGACACATTTTGGACGGGGCTCAGAGCATTGTTCCCATCTTGTCAGCTCTACCAGATCCACAGATTCAAACATGATTGTTTCTGTCACGACAGCTTTTGAGATGTACATCTTCTTAAACATGGGCCTGTCTGTCTATCGTATGTTGTTCCTCCACACCTAGAGCTATTTATTCTCCTAATAATGTCTGCCTTGCCTCAGAGATGCTCTGAACATCCTCTGCCGTTGGTGACAAGTTCCAACATGAATGACAAATGAGATCTTGTTTCTGTAGTTTGTGTATCTCTGAGAGTGTTTGTGGTGTGTGTCCAAATCAAAACCAACACGCAGGGAGAGAAAGAAATGGAACAGGGCTTTTCGATTTTGTTCCCCAGCTGCATATACAAAACATTATGGAGATATCTGAGGACTTACTGGAGTCCTGGAAGGAGATGTCATTTCCATTGTAGGCATTCTTTAGCTTGTTGGTCATGACTCGTAGAGCCATTATCTGCTGCCGAATCAGTGTGTCCGGTCGGGTGATGTCCAAAATCACTTCTGGATTGTTCACCTGGTTGGTGAGGCCCTCCTTTACCACCTCAGGGAAATATCTGGAACCGAAAAGAAACAAGTATGTTCAATAGCTGCTCAAAGGTTGTTATTAACAAGACTCATGTATTGTAAATGACTGAACATACAGGCTGTAAAAAGACAATTTATTAACTAATGTGACTGAAATTCCTGTTTCAGGTCATCGTCATAATTGTTTCTTTTTGCTTAACGGCAGACTAATGAGCAAGAGAACTTTGAGATAATTTTACCATTATTTAATCGCTTTGTGTTTTAAAGTAGACTTTAGACACTGCTTCATTGTGTGACATCAGAGAAATATTAAAAGAAAGTCAAGCTGTAAAGAAGAGGATTATGGACCTGAACAAGTCCAAATCCTGGGGTAAAATTTCCAGATACCTGAAGGTGAGCTGTTGATCTGGCCACATAATTACACACAGGGACAAACAGCACTGTAATGCCATCATGCTGTGTGGGTGCGTTGCTGCAGCAAAGGCTGGTGTGCATCACAAAACAGATGACATTACATGAAAAGAACATTATGGTGAAATATTGAAACCAGATCTGCCCACATCAGCAAGGTAGATAAAACTTTGGCGCAAATGGGTCTTCCACACGGACAATGAAATTAATCACACTGGAAGAATTTGATACAAAGTGGCTTAAGGACAATAAAGTCAATGTCTTGGAAGGGCCATCAAAAAGCCTGGATTTCTGTCCATTTGAAAATGTGTGAGAAAAGCAGTAAAGGTGTGTGTGTGTGTGTGTGTGTGTCTGCGTGTATTTTCTGAGTTTTAGTTCAGAGTTTTACTAACAGAACTGCTCCCTCTGTACTCTTGATCCTTCACAGCTGCTCCAGTTATTAATCAACCCAAATGCCTGGAGGGGTAGTCTGACTGGATGTTGTTTCCATTTCCCCACACACGCTGTTCAAATCACTGCACTCATCTTTCAGCCTTTATTCTCTGTTTTAGCTAAACAAACACCTTAAGTGTCTTTAGTCGTTCACAGACTTATTTTCGGCTCAAAGGAGGGTACCCTTGTGACAGAACGGCCCAGCAATAATGACAGACTCAGTGGACTTGTAGATGGAAATGGCTTCTGGATTGATTCAGTCTGTACACATAAAGCCAAATATTCAGTTAAGATAGCATGACCGAGAGCTCCAATCATGACATCAAAGCACTGTCACAACACAAGCCCAGTTATCTCAATAAGCAGAAAAATGTCCAAGCACTAATAACATTCAGCTCACAGTCCACTCAAAAGTTTGTTCATACTATATAGCTGCTTTTCAGTCTGGTGTAGGAAAAGCTTACTTTCCTGATCCTCACTCCTCTTTTGGGGACAACGGTAAATCAGGGCTTTGTGTCTCAAATGTCCTTGTTGTTGATTCAGAACGAAACCACCTTTACTTTGGATACATTGTTGGTTTATCAAGTAGGAGGGCATGCGCTGAGGCTTATTTGCCCATCAGGGCATCAAACAGAGGTCTTCTGTTGGTTTTGCTAATGAGTTAAAGGGAGTCTTTAATCTTCCTGTTAGGGGCTGGGATGTAATCAGGTTTTTAATGCTTCTCCACCAGGGCTAAAGCATTGAGGTGGAGAACTCTGAAGAGTTCAGGACTTTAGGAGTGGATCGAGGAAAAAAAAAAAAAAAAAAACTACTATGAACTGGTGACCACAGCCTATCCACAGTCATTAGAGTGTGTATCTATAAACAATTTGGAGAAAAAGACAATTTAGATTTTTTGGCCCAATGAAAGCTCAGCTGCCTCTAATTATCTCTGGTCTCGAGTAGTTAACTGGGGATATTCACAAAGTTTGTATTGCCATTATGTAGTAGCTGCTTTTGGGTGATATGAGCCCCTGGTATATTTATTTTTTTATTTTTTATTATTTTTTATTCTTCAACAAACTCCAACATCAGTTTCTCAGCTTTTAGGTGTGCTTTATTTATATATTCTGAAATGCTTTAAGCCTATAACTTAATTTTCATGCTCTTGTGTGCATTTCCATAGTGAGTTCCAAAATCGAGAAATTTGTATATATCATGTCCACTATCGCTAAATGGATCCTCCTCTGCTGGAGTGTTGGTGCAATTGATGGCCCCACCGCAACAGAGGAGTCCAGACTGCAGTTAATTGGAGTAAAATTAAACAATCAGCACACAATCACATCGTCTCATAGAAGTAAAGTGCACTGACTGTAACTCAAGGTGCATTCAGATGGGGCGTTTAGAGTGGTTGGGTTCCTGCAAAAGCCATGGTTTTAAGCACTAAAGCCACAGCTGAGAATTTTGTCACTGCGACATCACATTATGACTTATATAGAGTCACTCAAACCTCACAGTAAGGTGTAACTGTAAACTTTAAATAAATATCGCCAACACAGACTTCCATATTTACTTGCCTTTTGAGGAGAGCAGAGACACATCAGCTGTATCTGCACTCTTACTCAACTGTTGCTATTTTAAAACCTAAGATTGGTTAATGATACACAATCCTTGGGGGTTGTGTTTAAGTTCCGCCTTGGAACAAAAATGCCATGGAGAGTATTGCATTTCTTAGTTTAAATCTTAAAGTCATTTAAGCCATTGAGTGCAATTTGTGGCATATATTTCTATCACTTTGTGTGATCTAATTCCTACCATATATTATATATATATATATATATATATATATATATATATATATATATATATATATACATACACACACACATGTAACTGCTCTGCTTCCTAGAAAAATAGTCCTGCTGTGGAAATCTTTTCAGGCCTCTTTATAAACCCTAATAGCTCCCTGCGCAGAATAAATACGGCCATTACTCCTCTGTTTAAAATGGTCTTCATCACTCCCAGGGATTCTGTGGACAAACTAAATTGACTTTACTTTGGACCTCTAGACATAACCATGTTCTAGCGGAGAAACGGAACAAGGATGCTCCTGTTTATCAAATAAGCGAGAGAATTCAGCTTTCTTCCCTACAGATAGCTTTAATGACTTGTGATACACAGACTTTCACTGCAACATATGCAGCGAACGTTGTCCTTCCATCCACGATTCACAACTTATGCCTTTTTACTGAAAATAATTCCTATATAGAAACAGTCCTGGATTCTCGGATCCCTTTGGTGCAGCTGTTTGCTTGAGCTGAAACGGTTTTATTTTGTTCCCCATCTCCTCTCCAATCTTTGCCACAAAGTTATTCCCTGGCAGCCATGACACACCAGTGAAAATCCTACTTGTGTCTAGATCTTGTGAAAAAAGGTTTTTATTTCTTTTGTTTTCTGTGAAGCTTTTTTACTTACCTTGCTGCTCTGTCTGTGCCCTAGATACTCTGAAAAAAATTCTCCGTGTGTCTACCTGCCTGTCTGCTCGCAAACAGCTTGAATTGAATCACATCTCACATTCATTGTGTGTTGTCAAATAAGCTCATTTCTTTTCAGCTTTCCACAGCCAGAGGAAAGGTATTAAGAGGTTAATATTCTTTCTGTCCTGTTTTGAGATGCAAAATCAGCAGCATGAAAAGGGCATGGCAGCAGGCCAGAACCTAATTATAAGACAAGTGGCATTATTAGTCGCAATTAAAATGGATCTCTCAACATTCTCCCAATTGTTCGTGTTAGAATCTAAAACGGCTTCATCACCAAAAGAAGCACCTAAACAGTGAATGCACTGAGAAATTTCTTCATGACTGGTTGGTGAGTCTCAAAAACGACTGACTAAAATCCAACAGCGTTAGACCTGTTATATTTATTTACAGAGGAGTAAATCAGAAAAAAGCTTGTGTGTATAACTAGCCTTCATTTGTTTATTTTGGACGCTCTTCACAAAAGGGAACCTTTAACATGTTGTAAGACCACAATACAAAGAGTGATGCACTACAGTTAATATTTCAATAGCTATTCATGCTGCATGAGGGTTGAAGGCTAATCAGCCCATTTGTTGTCATACCCCAACATCTTCACTGGAGTTATGTCCCGACTTTGATTAGGCCGCTTCAAAACCTACAGTTTGTTTTTGACCAACACCATCACCCTAACTAATAATGCTTCTACACTTGCTATTCATGCAGTATATGTGGTAACTCTCCCCCATAATTTCCTATTAAGTTGATCAACTTATTACTTGTACGTATGTAATCATTGATCTGCATTTAGAGAACATGGTAGCTGTTTAATAAATAATCCTTGATATCCAGACTGGTACTTCATTATCAATTTAACAACCAGATTTAGAGCAGTGCTTAAAAATGGCACTGGCACCAGCATATATCTTTTATCGCGCCATCTGGTGATTTTGCTGCTTGGAAAGGACGGAAACGATGGAGTGATTCGTGTTCCTTGCCAGCATCTCCAGTTCACTGTCGGAAAGAGCTACTTTCTGACCAATCAACTGTCAGTCTCAGGGTTACTTTACAAGCTGTTCTGGCGACAAGAGGGTTTTGAAGCTCCACAGTCCCTCGAGTATTAGAGCCTTGGAGATTATGCACAGCACAAGTTCTCCATATCACCGCTAACCATTGTAGTTTCAGAGAAACTTATAATCTTTGAACAGAATGTGGTTATTTTAATCCCTGGCAGGCAAAATGTGATAACAGGAGAGTGGGGTGACTTTAGTTGGAGCTGTCGAGTCCTCACCTGCCCTTTGTGTGGCTGTTCCAGCACTGTTCCTCGTCAGACTCTGTCAGTTTGCCTTCGGCACAGATGTCATCTGGTAATTTGGACCAGAACTTCTTGGACTCCTTTAACTTCTCTTTGATGTCAATCACCTGTCAATGGCCGATACAGTGGAAAGAAAATATATTGATGTTCTATTTCAATTAAAGGATGAGAAATCAAGAGCCTGTACCTAATTTACTTCTGTTAAATAAAATTACAGATTTGACTACAGAAATGCAAATAAATTAGTACGACTAGAGACAAAATATCTTTATTTTGCAGTCATGCACCCAGTTTGTGACCATGCTCAAGCCCTTCTGTTCATTTATTCCATCATCAGAGAAATTCTGATGGACAACAGTTTTTTTTTTTTCTTTTGTTGTTTTTTTCATTTTGTCCACTCCACATTCGGTTTATCTCTGATTCATACAAGACAGATCTGAGGTTTCAAATCTGATACTTGGAAAAAGTGGTCGCCCCCAACTGATTCCATCTGGGCTCAACAAGACGCTTGAGCGGGTGAGCAGTAAACAGGACGGAAAGACAGACAGCACAATTGTCATCCACTGAAACATGTTTGGTTTCTTCTGTGTTCTTTGTTTTCAATCTGAGAAACAGTTAGGGATACAAATAAAAAACTCACATTTTCATACTCATACATTTAAGACATATAGGAAAGGAGGGGGTAAAGATAACAATACAGACAATAAAAATAAGTATTACAATATTCATTTTGGTGTCATTATATTTGGTTAATGCTAGCATGAAAAGAAGCTTGAAAAATGTTAGAGGCTAATTTCTTTGAGACTGAACTGGTATAAAAATGGCTTTAAAGAACATTCATCGTCTGAAAACTAGATCTCAGCCTGAAAAGGATATGCAGAATGACCTTAAGTAAGCAATTGACAGAAGTTGTGGAATATGACTAAGAGGACTTTTTAATAAAGAAGCTAAAGGGTCAAATTTCTTTTCCAAGAAGTATTTTAGTGAGTTTTATCTACTTTTTAAGTTCAACGATTCACATTATTTGTCCAACTCTGCTGAGAATGTTTTGTATAAGTTCACAGAAATTAATACATTTTGCATAGAGTACAACATTAATAATTTTATTTATTCATACTAGAGTCAAGCTTTAGATAATAACAGTTACTAAAAGAAACACCCCTAATCTGAAGGAGCCATATAGACCATATAAAGTGACACAGTATTGCTGTTTGTGAGTTTTGCATAAAAAACAGTCACAAACTGAGCCTGATAATTTAGACAGGTGGCAAATTCATCCAGTGTATATTTTGAAGAGAAAAACCTTTGTAGGAGGGCCTCAACCTTCTACGTCAAATTCTATTGCCTTTGGCTGTGCTGCAATTCTCCCAGTAAATTGTTTTGGACTCAGACCAATTTCAGGTACTGAATTGTTCAAAGCTTGGGTAAAGCACAGACCAAAAAGTATCAAGCCTACATAATTTGCTGCCACACACACACACACACACACACACAC